GTGTGTGCATGTGTGTGTGTGTGCGCGTGTGTGTGTGTGTGTCATCCTTGTGAAGGGGCCATACCACTATTCTCTCTATAGTTCCTTTACTGTATTCTGAGCTATAAAGGATTTGTGTGTCCCTTTCTTGTCCAAGGGCGTGATTCATTCCGCCTTGTCTCTCTGCTGCCCAGGCTCATTTGCAACATCCACTTTTTGCAGGTTTTTTTGTAGAGTCTTCAACTTACCCAGGGGCCCCAGTTGTTCTGTTGATGGAATCCGCCAGTTCTGGTTGACATCATCATCATCATCATCCGGTTTTCTGCGGAAATGTTGGCCTTGAGAATTTATCTGGAAGACCAACCCCGCCCCCCTCCCACCTCTTTCACCCATCTCCCTCTCTATCCACCCACCCTGTTCAATCGCGTTCGTGAGTTTCATTCTTCTATTGCTACCGCTTCAGCAATCATGTCCGAAAGTTTTGTGCTCGTACCAGTTAAATCACTACTACCTCGCCCAATCAACCGGAGAATTGACATTGAGTCAATCCGAAGATTTCGGCTGGACAGTGCTACCGAACCAAAATGGCTGGCAGTGCTAGCCAACCAAGAAAAAAGGTACCAAAAAAAAAAGAAAAAAAAAAGTACACCAGGTGCAGTTTGATTTGCATGCAGTGCAAATCCGCGTCAGACACACACACACACACACACACACACACACACAAAAAAAAAAAAAAAAAAAAAAAAAAAAAAAAAAAAAAAAAAAAAATTGCATCAGGAGAAAGAGGATCAGAGCTACTGGTGGTTTGAACGACTACCTTCTTCCCCCGAACGTAACGCACATGTGTTGTTTTCGACTTTTCAAATTTGAAAAAAAAAACGGAATAGAACGCACATGCATTGTATTCAAAATTTAGGGCTACCGTCTTCCCCCGAACACAACGCACCCTCATTTTGCCTGTATCGGGCCGGAAACATATCTTGTATACGTTCATTTTTAGGGTGCGTTATGTTCGAGGGAAGACGGTATTCCAATAGAACGCATGTGTTGTATTCAAAAAGAACGCACCCTATGCATTGTATATGTTCGGGGGAAGAAGGCAGTACACGGCCCCAGCCTTGCAGTCCAAAACTCGTCGGCGTTGTCGCCACAAAAATACGAGGCCGGAACGTCAAACGCTGGGCCTGCCGTTGATAAATTGGATCGGCGGTCACATTTCCGTGTCGCGCTTCCAGAATTCGCGGAGGTAGGTGTCAGGCCCGCGGCCCAGGTGCCCATGTACTGGTGCTTTAAGCCCAAACCCCGTCCCAGCAGGGAACAGTAACCCTTCATAGGGTCGGTGTTTCTGTCCAGGTGCAGGTAGTCCGCATCTTCACAGACATGTCTTTTATTTCACCGAGTCTCTCTCCAAGACAGCACCCCAGATCATTACGCCTTTCGTGCAGGTCGGAAGTCACCCGACAAGAAATTTAGCTCCCATAGGCCCGAAAGAGTTACGGCCGCATCGTTCACTGGGGCTTCGTGCAGGTCGGAAATCACCCGACAAGAAATTTCGCTACGTTAGGCCCGAAAGAGTTACGGCCGCATCGTTCACTGGGGCTTCGTGCAGGT